GTCGAATTAATTTTAAATGTTATTTACAAATAAAAAGTAAGTAACAAAATACATGTCATTAGATATATAAAACCTTTGAATTAGTTTAATGGAATAAATAATTGCAAATGAAACGATAGAGTAAATAATATAAAAAATAACATAGGAAAAACAAAAAAAAAAAAAAGACACTAGTATGGGAGATAGAGAGTATATAAGATATATATATATATAGACTTACATGAAAGATAGAAGTCTTAGAATAAATTTTGCATGAGGACCGTTGGATTAATAATCATCAAGTAATCTAAATCGTGAAAAACTCAAAACAAACTTTTCTAACTATTTTATTATATAGATGTGTGGTTGAATCTTGACCCAAATTTTTTTTTTTTCAAATGATATATTAAGAGGAAAGACGTTATGCTATAAAAAAAATGTACTTAAATTTTATGAGTTAAAATATAAATTTTTAAGTTTATATACAACAAAAAAATTTATAATTTAAGGTCAATTTCATGTTTGTTTAATCAACATCAAATAATATTTAAAACGAAATGAACATTAGATTGTAAATTAATATATAATTTTATCAAAAATTGACATTTAATTTTGTCCAATTTATATTCAACTTTGTCGAATTAATATCAAATTAATTTTTATTGTTATCAAATTAATATTAAAATTCAGTTAATCAATTTTTTGGGGTACTAAATTATATCCTTTTTTTGGGTACTAAATCAAATATTATTTTGTTTATTAATTTTTTAATTTTTTTTGGGTACTAAAGTTGGAGAAAGACAATTGTAAAAATAATAAAAAAATTTGAGATGAAATGATCACTTTTCGTTAGTAACATTGACGGAAGGGAGACAGAGAGAGTCTCCGTGCAATAAATTTCAAACCTCAAGGAGTCTCCGTGTTATTTATAAAATATCAGAAGGTGTCCGTATAATATTGTCAAAACTCAGGAGATGTCGGTATTTTTTATCCTTTTTGTTTTAATTAGATATTATTTTATCTTAAAATTTTGAATTATTGTATTTCTAATAAAAACGGTTGTTAGTTAGGAAAGTTTGTTGGTAGTAAAAAAAAAATGTGTGAGAGTGTATTTCTATGTATATTAATATGTGGAGACTTGGACATTTGATAATTAAATTTATAATTATATTGTGCTATTTGGGGGTTAAATAGTGAGAGTGGTGATAAATTCATGAGTTTTATAAATTAGCAAAATTTGGTTGATTTTATTTATTGTTTAAAGAATGTGAATTTAATTTTGTTCTGTAAGTATTTTTTTTTAAAGATATTTATTACATGAGGAATATGGTGGTTAAGTTTATAATTATGTTATATTATTGGATTGAGTGGGATAGATTTGATAAATTTGTGAGTCTTATATATGAGCAATATTTTATTTATTGCTTGAAAATTGTAAATTTCAATGAGTTATGTTAGTATTTTTTTTGAGGCGTTTGTATATATGGTGTTGTTTTGAGGATTTTTTTATATATTTTTATAACAGTTCTATTAATATGGAGGGTATGATGAGTGATATATTTCGAGTCATTTTAGAAGATGAATTTGTATGACTATTTTTATGCCATTTCTTTTAAATTTGGATAATTGTTTAAGATTTTTTTATTTGTTACAAAGTGCATTCAGACACGGGTAATGTCTAGTCTTATTTATTGAAATTCAAACTTTTACACATATCACTCATTTAGTATTATATTGAGAAAAATTGAAAGAAATGAGGAACGGAGGGGATCTAATCAGGAAAACCACCATTTGCTACTAAAAACAGGAGTTATTTCTCTCTCTCTTAGTTGTCATTTGGTAAAGGATGGAGAAATGAGTCTTTGGGGAAATCAAAATTGTCAAAAATGGGTTAATTTTCATCTTAAAGTAGTGTCATCCATGTGGTCCAGTTTGCGCCCACTAATGGTGGCAACAGGTGGTGAATAGTCGTGTGGTGGGTGATGGTATCGTTATGGAAGGGTTGTCGGTGTTGACTGATGATAGTGATTTGATCTTCATGGCGATTGTGAGAATAGTGTTTAGGATAGTGGTGTTGATTCGTAGAGAGAGGAAGAGGAAGATGGAGATGAGAGGTTTCTTCCCTTTTTTTTTTGGGAGAATTATATTTAGATTATTGAGGTTTATCACTTAATCACTCACACCTTTTAGTATTTAAAATATTACACATAGGCCTCTTAAAGTTTATGTGCACGTAACACTTAGGTCCTTACCGTCAGTTAGTATATTTGTTAGTAAATTACACATAGATCCTCTAAAATTTGTAAGCGTGTAACACTTAAAATAGAATATCAAATATTTTAATTTTACAACCAAAATTCATATTCTAATTTAATTTTGAACTGTTATACTTATATAAAAAATATTTTAATCAAAAATAGAATATCAAATATTTTAAATTTTACAACCAAAATTTATATTCTATTATGTCGTTTATTGAATTAAAATCAAAAATAAAAATCTAATTTTTTTCTTAAACTAACCACTGTAATTAATTGTTATTTAATTAATATGCACCTAAAACTAACCACCGTCGGTTTGCTACCTAAAACTAAATTGATAAATTATACCTAGATCCCCTCATGCTTATAACTGAATCATTTGGACCCCTTCACATTTATAATATTACTTTTACATTTCATGACGCTTGTGCACGTATAACACCTAATTCCTTTGCATTGATATCTGTCAATATAATTGTTAAAAAATTGAGATTCGAACAATCTTTTGGGGTGTAATTTACAATTAATCCTATAATTTTTTAAAAAAAATTAGATTTTTATTTTTGATTTTATTTCAATAAATGATACAATAGAATATGAATTTTAGTTGTAAAATTTAAAATATTTGATATTTTATTTTTAATTAGAGTATTTTTTGGTTAAATATAATATTTTAAACTTAAGGGATCTAACTATTATATACTACAAACTTCAAGGGGTCTAATTATAATTTACTAACTATTATATTAATTAATATTGATGACAGAAGTCTAAGCGCTACGCAAATATAAATTTCAGGGAATTTGAATATAATATTTTAAATATTAAAATGTTGAAGTGATTAAATGACAAATCTTAAAAGAACTGGGTGTAATTTTTCCCTTTATCGACAAAGTTGCACCATCAGTTAATTGGGGAGTATAGGAACGTCGATCTATATTTGCTTAAGTAAGGAGAGAAGGAAAACCTGAAAATTTTCTTTCCAACATCATTACTTGATCCGTCAATTTTAGACACGACCAACAAACTCAGTTCGCAATTAATATGTTGAATTTAGTCTTAACGGGTAAGTTTAGCTTTAATGGTTTCGGATGGTAAAGATGTAGACTATAGAACCCATCATTCAAATCTGTCGATAAAAACAAAGCTAATTATGGCGCAAACCTACTATAAATGACTTTTACTCAACTTATACATGGCACAAATTTTGACACTGCACAAATCAAACACAAGACGAGCTTGACATGACCCATTCGGCCCTAATAATTACCCAACATTCTTTAACAGCGATGCAGTTTCATTTCAATAACAAGAAGGATACCCCTTGCTACAACTAGACACCATAGGAAGTGTTTAGTATAATCATCCAAAAAGAAAATTTCACCCAACTGCTAACGTCTGAATAAGTCACCAACCTTGCAACAAGTTCAATATGAATGGACCCTGGTTAGGTTCCGGATTGTTCGATTTCAAGTACCCTTTTTTTGTTTTCTGTCTTCGCTTCTTCTTCTTTTTTTTTTTTTTTGAGTTTTTAAATTAACTAAAGTTTATTTTTGCATTTTTTTTTTACCTTCTCCAAATTTTATCCTCCAAGCTTATTCACGTCTAGTGATATACAAATGCACACATAGAAGTACTAGTTATTCCCCGTGCTTGAAAACACATAATAATAAAAAATAATAAATAATAAACATATTTGTCTTTTTGAACACTAAAGAATATTGCTCAGATAGGATCCAATACATGACTCCAACTATGTTTTCAAAACAAGTTTCAATATTTAGAAAATATTTTCATTAAAAAGCCTAAGAATCATTTTAAGATTATCCTAAATTCGATTATTAAACCTAATGAGCCAAAGTGTAAAAACCAAGGGTCTTAGGAATTTAGGTTATTACCTTTCTTAATTTTGAAGGTTCATGAAAGATGTTCTTGATCCGGCTCTACAGCTTAAACTTCTTTCTTATTTGAAGCTTTCGGATCTTAATCTTTGAAACATCGTGACCACAAACTTAGGTTACAATTTATAATGTTCTTTCCCATTTTTTGAAAAAAAATCTTTATTGATTAAAAAAACTCCAAAAAAAAGTTACTAAACGGCACTAGAGTGATCTTTGGAGTATTGTATACTGAAGTCTATATTAAGTTCTAAAGCTCACTATCCAATAATTTGGAATGCCCTCGTTAGACATATAACTAAATTTCATAAAATCCTCACCCAACACCCTATGACCAATAAAACAAACATATACAATCAGGCAGTAATTGTTCCTACTCTGCAGATTGGATACTAAATCAGTCTGGACATCCTTTCCATTTCGGGTCTTAGCTCTCCATTGAAAAAACTTAAGGATTTCCTAGGTTTTGTTTGGTGCAGGGAACGGTATTGTGTATCATCATTTTTTTAAGCAAAAAAAAAAAAAAACAATTTAAGTGCCATCAGTGAAAGAATATGTACCTACGGTGAATTAATGGAATAAGAATCTAACTGAATTTAACCCACAGTTATAGATCTTACGTTATATCAGCTATCTATGACCAAATTAAGGTAATCAATGTAAATATAATTCTCTCCTTTTAGACTGGGTTTCAATATGAGTTGGTATCTTGCATGGTGCTAACCATGACAATTCGACATTTCTTAAATGGTCATGCCACTGAACCAGCACAATGTCATAAGGTCAAAGGAACTGAAAATGCATCCTCAAACAAGGAAAAGGACAACAATTATGCATTATGTGGATTTTAGTTGATGGGCAGTCAAATCGTATCCAACCATGAATCAAAATCATCCAAAAGTTTAGACTTGGAAGCAGGGTGCAAGGAAGAGGAAGATAGGACATCAGAAGGGGCAGCCTTTACCTCACTAGACTGTGATGGACTATTTTGGTTTATTAGACTGGATGTTTGCTTGAGTAGGTCATCAATGGTATCATCCAGATTGGCAGATATCAGTGCAGAACTAGATAAATCTGGGCCTTTCTTCACTGGTTCAGCAGGAACCAACCGAACAGATGAAATTCCTTCCAACAACGAAGTTGAGGTTTCTCCTGGTGACAAATAAGATGTGTGACCGGACTTCTCCGTGACGTCATGGGAATCAAGAAACTTTGCTCCACTAAATGAGTCAAGAAGCATGTCAAGCTCTGCTTCTGCAGCTGCTGCCTCAAATCTAGATGGTTTCTTCGCAGGGTTGGCAATAGAATCTACATTGAGTTCTGCTGTAGACTCCGAGAAAATGCTTTGACTAGTACAGCCAAAATGCTGGACTTCATCCTTAACCTGATTTATGGACTTTGACCCTTCACTGGCATAAGCAGGAAATGGATGGCTGGTGGTGGTTGTGGTGCCTTGATCAGTGTACTTATCTCCTTCAGAAACACCATGTGACACTAAGGAATCAGAATCTTTCTCATCCATATACCTCGTACTTGGAGCTTGACCCTGGCCAGATTCCTGATCGCTGCTTGCTCGTAACTCAATGCACTGCCACATGTAAACATGAAACTAGCTGATGATATCAAAAAACAAGACAAACACAAACACAAAGAATCTCTATGTTAACTTTCTCCATAAATATATTCCCTGATAAAAAAGCTCATTAAAAACTGAAGGTGCTGTGAATGATCAGTGGGATATTTTTCAAGATTTGTGGTTCATTATCAATCAATCTAGAAAACAAAAAGGAAACTGGACGAAATAAAACCAAGAACAAAAAGAGAAAAAAACAAAAGGTACACATACAAGCACTACATCTTTTCTGATATCTTTTATTTATACTAGGGAACCAAATTTCAAACAAATTACTTCCATCAAGGAAAATTTAGATTCCAGTTATGTGGTCTCAGGAAGATAATGGTTAACTGTCCAAAAAGTTGTCAATCCAGCTATGCATGTTCCGTTTGGAGTTAGGCATCCGATATTTTGCTGTCACAGCACGCACACATTCAGTAAAAACCTACAACGAAGCCAAAAGCCAGCATACTCAAGTTTCGTCATCTATTGTTCAAATAATCTCCTTATGGCATATTTGTTACGTCCATTGGGAGAATGAACAAATGCTCAGCAGACCTCTAAGTTGAAAAACAAAATCAAGTGCAGTCAAGATTCACGCTACACCAGTCAAATTAACTTTCCAAGACAGGTGAAATATTTACTATAGTAATAAGTAATATGAAGAAAGATACACCTCTATAACTAAGAGAAGAATGCTCTTGTCTTCTAAATGTGATATGATAATGCAATCATCAAGAGGCAGTGTAATTCCAATTTACCCCAATAAAAATATTATACGTACCAGCTCTGGTGGTAATAGATCTGCTTCAATAAAAAGCCTTTGTGATACATCAGATTTTGCAAGTTGTTTGGCGAGAGCATGCAGATTGAGAGAGAGAAATGATGTCTGTGACAATAAGAAAATAACATAGAAGTGAGCAGGTACGAAACTAGGATTTAGTGGGGGGCAACCTAAAATTCATTAATAAATACATTTCTTTAATTTTTATTAAGTTCAGTTTCATTAAAAGAATGCCAATTGGTAATTGAAATACACAAGCAAAATACACAAAAAGTGCTAGTAAAAAAGGCTCACATAAAAATTCCTATTGTCAGGGTGCGGTAAGATACTCTTTGATGAATTAGACTCTGTTGGGCCCTACTGGAGTGTGTACCCATTTGGGAGTGCCTTGAGCTATATTGTAAGATCTTTCTTTGCAAAATAGATATAGTTTATCTACCCAAAAATGTTGTATAATCATCCATAAGACCTAATAAGAAACAAAGAATGATTTAATCTGCCACAAGCAAACTGTTCAAGTCTAACCAATTGAAGCAATTTAACCCAAAACATAATCCATAACTGACAAATTCCAGATATTTTACTTCAAAAAGAATCCCAAATTTCTAAAACGTAAAACTACCCTTAAATTTTTCAGAAATTTCTGAGTGAGAGGTTTGGAGCAAGTTCTAATATTTTCAAAATATTTTCAAAATTTCAAATAGACCCTGGAACTTTTCAAAATTGCAATAGAGGCAGGTGCCCTTCAGTTCTACCCTCACTATGGCTCTATCATTAGAACTGAACCAACATTCACACAAAATGGTAACTTGCAAATCTATCTTAAAAAAGCTTCAACTATAGCTTTATCCACTATAACTATCATGATAATCATAGTTACGTTATTATTTGATGTCTTCTACAAGACCGACAATTCCTCAGACATGGCTTGCCGCCACTGAAACATCCTAGCCCACACAAGGTTTGAGAATAAGAGATTACATTTAAGATTTATATATCTTCCATAAAGGAGTCAAATGAAACCAAAGTTTCATGTTCAGTTTTGAATTAGAGTCATTCAAAATAGTGAATCTTGAAATCTCACTAATCAGATTCCATTGTGGCATACACAATTTTTTCTGAAGAAAGAATTCGCCATAATATATCCAATCCATGCATAATATCATGAAAAATGGATACAACTTTTTGCCTACTAAGTATTGGTTAGATTAGGAACTTAGGTCCCATCTGGGGTATGCAACTTTGGATCATTATAGCCTATTCACTGTTGTTTTTTTCATCTACCCAATTGGTCAAGGAAGTTTTATGATGATAAGTCACTATAAATCTTTCGTACTTCCAACTTCATGATTGTATTCCAAATAGTTGTCATTACTCTTTGTAAATCCTTCTAAAAAGAACGGGTCAACCAAAGCTTGAATATAAAAAATCACTCTTAACTGGATGCACGACACATTTGTATGCTGCAGCATTAACATACTGTTATAACTCGGTCAACATTAAAGGCTTTGAACAACGAGTACCGAAAAATCAAAATAAATATTCCTGACCCTACAAGATGTTATCAGGAATGGTTGGCCACAACGCATTTTAAATTGCTGGCCCCTTATTTGCCCAGGATTATCAATATTCATAATTACATAATTTCACAAGGACCTACATGAAATTATTGGGTCTTGGCGGTCATGCATCTCATACTGCTGTCTTCCAATTTTCTCTTGTCGAGACCAATTGAAAAGAAATAATGTTAATGCAAAAGAATGTCCACCAACTAAAACTCCCTTAAGTTTACCTTTTGCTTTTCTAGCATGCAATGACAGCTTAGGGGCGTTGAACACCCTTCAACCATCTTGACAAAATTAGAAGAGCCTATAAACAACTCTCATTTATATGTTTTAATTTAATAAATCATGTGAAAAACGAGGTCATGACACAAGACATAAGTAATACCCCCCCCCCCCCCCCCACCCCACGGCTTTGTAAAAACATGCTTATGATACCATGAATTACTCAGATGTATGTACACCATACAGACTTCATTTCCATGTTTTCAATTGTTCTTAGAAAAAACTGTCTCATAAAATTCTTCCGATAAATATGTGATTGCTACATGTTTTTCAAACACCAAATCCAATGCTTATTTTGAAATAAAGCACATCAAAAGCAAAAAGGATGAACGGAATAAGACACTAAATTACTTGACCAAATCTTCAATGGGATCATAATCTGCTCCACCTCTTCAATTCTAAACATCAACTTAGGGGGTACAACAAATCAGTCGAGGCTTTGCCTACACAAAATGGTCAATACATCTTCCCGTCCCTGCTAATTATGCCTTTTTATTATGTGTTTAGCAACCCAAATTAAATCCAAGACCTATATCTTATGCCTACATATTCCAATATAGGAAAACCAAATTTCAATATGAATCTTCAAATCGAATTGCAAGAAAAAGAATTTTGACAGCTTGGCATGTTCAATCTTGACTCCTTTTCTTGTTGCCATGACACACCAATTAAAAGATCAATTTTATCCTTGACACTTCGTTTACACCTAGGAACCTTGGCAGCGAATGTTGATAATGCCGTACTACCAATTACAGAAAGGGACATTTTCTAACTGTAAATAAATTATTTTCTAAGTCTTAATGAGAAATAACTTTGCACTCTCCATCCCCTACATTTTTGTATGCTCACAAACATAGAAACAAAATTACTATATCTTAAATCTTCACACTATCCCCTAAGAACATCCATCATAATGGCTACATTGAAAGGCGGGTGATTCACAGAGCAAAGACCCGCAAAGTTTAGGCAAACATCATAGCCCCCTCACTCCTAGTAATATCTCTTGATTCCTTACCCCTTGAGTTAAGCTTTTGATGAGTGAGGATATCAAAACCATAATATATCGTACAACAAGAAAGGGGTAAAAGTCCATAGATATTTGGATCGTAGACACCTCTACCATCTCACGAACTGGGGTTCCACAACCTGAGACAGGGTGAACCCACGATCCAGATTGCTTTAATTCACAACCCCAAATTGTAATCCAAACCCAAAATAAATATTAGTTAACTGTGTGTATATAAATGTATAATCATATATAATATCATATAATAAAGATTAAAGAGAAATCCAATAGAAAATGCAAGACAACCCAAAACAACATACTATTTAAGTCTACCCTCATCGTACCGCATATTAAAAAAAGTACCGGGTGGGGGCACATGCTCACCCTTACAATTTCTTCCTTAACATTACTTATATAAGTTTTAAATATTTTCAAACACATTTAAGGAGTCAACCCAATGTTTTCCAATGATATCCATTAGAATAAATCCATAACTAAGTAATGATACTTAGCTTTCAAGCATACTTTGAACACGTTCGGTTAAGTTTTGGAGATAGTAGGGTAAGTCTGTAATTTTTTTGAAAAATATATCATTATTTTCTTATTGTAAAAAAAACTAGGGTTATTGTGTAATGAAATATGGATCATTTTTGTAAATATATAAAAAAATCAAAGTCACAAAACCTTATAAAATAAAATTGTGTGAAGTTAAATAAAATAAGTTTATCTGATGAGCTTATTCTCACTAGATTAGAGAGAGAGAGAGAAACAATCAACAACTCTTTGACCTTCAAAGCAACTATGCTTCTCTCAAGCGAGATGTGAGTTACCTTTATTTGAGCATTATGATATTAGATAATTGAAACTTTAAAACAACTTCCTAGTTGTATTATTAATATTCACTATGTATTGAGTTTTCAAACCTAGTACTAATTGGTGTTCTTACTCAAAAAATTTTAAAGACTAAAAAAGACATGGTATCTTCATGAGTTTACATACTTGTGACATTGATACTAACTTTATTGGTTGGGATTGTCATTATAAACAGAGCATTTTCAACTATGTAAATTATGAAAACTTGATTGCTTAACTGAATGGATGATAAAAGTATGACTGACAATATAGTTATTTATAAAAAAAGTTTATTCTCAATGGTATTTATAATAAAGTTATCATGCAACATTTTCGAATGATGAAAACCAATTGGAGTTGATTAAAAACAATTATAATTAACCACAATTTTTTTTGAAAAACTTTAAAATTAATCTTTTTTATTTTGTTTTGTTTTGTTTGTACACACAATGTATTATGTATACCCGTTGTACCCTATTATGTTGAATATTTTTAAGCATCAAATATGATTTCAATAGATATAAATGTATCAGCTTAATTTTATCGATTGGCCAAAAAAAATTAAAGCTTTTTAAAGTGCCCACCAAAGAATGATTTCTTGGCTCCACTCCGGCATAGTTAGAAAGGGCCAGCATCCAAAAAATTTGATTGTTACACTCATTTTCAAGAAAATTGTTCAATGCCTTGAACAAATCCATCAAAAGATTCCCTCACTATTCTAGCATCTAAAAACTTCACTCAAGATTAAAAAAAAACTCAAAAAACGATCACATTTAATTAGGCCATAAGAAAAGGTGGTCAACGACCTCAACACTACTTTAAGCATACATATTAACCAACCCCTAAACATATCTAACAACCACACACTCTAACTTTGCCAAACTATAGAGTTCTTAAATCCTCATTTTTCTTTACAACAGTCCAAATAATGCTTGGGCTGTTGGACTAAATATGAGAGATCCTAAAAGACAGAAGAGTTAAAGACACTTTATCCACATTCTCAACCTCTCATACAAAAGTCCCTCTCTCTTGTCCATAACGTTTCAAACTTTTATCGTCCTCACAAAGTAGATAGCAATCAGAAACCAAATTGGATACAGGATTTGTCAAGTGAAATTCTACCCCACGTATCCCGTTGGTCATTTGATGGATCACCTGGCTTGTAGCCAGCTGCCCAAGCATCATACCAAATTATCAATTTCGACGCTAAAATATAACGAATACGACCCTCTGAATCCACAACTTCAAAAACCTCTCCAATTTCCAAAATCCTCTCATAGGAACCTCGCATGTGACCATTTTGATCACAATCATATTTCCACTCCATATAAACTTGTAGTTCACTTGGTCACTTATTGCTCCCATAGCATAGCAGCATCCCAAGATGGCAAACAGTTCTAACTTAATACATTAATCTTCACCCAAAATCACCTTTGTAATTTATACATTGCACATCCAAATGTGAAAGAAAATAGAATTCCCGCCATAGCTCGCAAACTCTCAATTGGAATGGAACTATGCGTAATTGCTTGTGCTAGCCTTCACCAGCCTGGTGAACTTGTAGAGAGGACATAAATTCTATCATAGAGATTTGTGCCGAAAGATTTTCTTCAACTACTTGGGTCTATAAGAGATATAGAGGTATTGCTTCAACAAATCAAGTTGAGTCCTCCAACCAGGTGGAGTGGAGCTGTGGTTTGAATCAGCCCCTTCTAAAGCGGGGAAGTTGCCTACCATTTACCTCCCCCAAACACTAACATAGGCAAAAGTCTTATGGACCGAGTATAGCCTTTTCCCATCCAAAGAATCAAAAAGACACACTGCTGCAAACACACTTTATGCCAATCCAATAAGCACTAAATAATTACATATATTGCACTAACACAACGATTAATTTGGCAACCATGTTTGTCACGTAAATTCATCCAAGATGAACTCATACTCAACAAAGTCTCATCCTAACATTTTTGAGACGGTTACAAGAATTACTGTTTTGTCATTGTGATCTATTAAGGGGTCATGTTTTCTATTAGACCAAAAGTTATTATATCTTTCTTTACTATTTCATTTAAAGTTATTTTTCACCTTCTACCGCTACACTTAATGTCAGTAACTATCACATCACTCTTTCCACCAGAGCCACAGTAGATTGTCTATACATATGTCCAAATCATCCAAGTCGATTATCATTTCCTAAAGGTATTAACTCTACTTTTTCGCATATATAATCATTCATAATTCTATCATTCGTAATTTTACCACACATTTATTTTAAAATTCTCATTTCTGCCACACTCAATTTTTGAATGTGTTGTTTCTTAACTATCCACACTCAAGACCCTAAAGCATAGTGGATCTTATGGTCATTCTATAGCACTTTCATTTTAGCTTAAGGGGTATGCATCTATCACACAATATACCGAATGTATCCCTCCATTTAATTCATCCCGCATTAATCCTATGAGTAAAAGCATTTTCCATTTAGTCATATCAAATGAATTGTGTGAAATAGCAATCACCCTGGACCAACTTCTATTACGCAGCAGCTGACGTTCAGGATGGATCTTCATCCTTCCTCTTCACCGTAAACTTCACACTAATAAATTAATAAAAGATTTCTATTATCATAAATCACACAGAAATTCAACCCATGGAACTCGCAGAAAAGTAACAGACAATAAAGAAACTACTTGTATTTTTGCACAGATGTGATGACAAACCAAATCAGAAAAGGAGGCAAAAAAGGTGCCTGATTGTAATCAAAATGACCAGAAGAACATATAAGCACAAAATTTTGGCCTTGTACACTTTGCTGCATTAGAGCAATCAGATAAATCCTAAGATGTGGATAACCAATAAGTATGTAGGCGATATTGCATTAGTATTCTAGATTCTTACATTCCTTCCATTTTCATAATTTAGACCCATCAAATGAAAGATTATAAAACATCATAAACAACTTACTTCACGACTTGAAGTTGCTTTATCCTCTCCTATGAAATTATCATCTGCATTCCATGATAATAGGCTCTGCCCTTTGATAGAAAGTAAAGAACCCACTCCCTGATAGAAATCTAAGAAAAAATTGAAGTCAATCCCTAATAAAATAACTCATTAAAACTTTCACACAAGCATTCTAAAATAAAATTACATACCACTAATAGAATCATCGAAGGAGGCAAAGCCGTCCAAAGACTGTGTTTGGGACTGAGCCTTGGCCTCAGAAATTAGGTAAGTATAATCTGCCCCTTTACTCTTTGGCAAAACAACATCAGTTGCTTTACTCAGGTTATCTTGGGATAGATTTTCAGAACCTGAATCGTTAAACTCTTCCTCATACCGATCCCAATTGGAGGGGAGTAAGCTAGAACCCTGAGACCTGTCGGACTTGACTCGAACTTGCTTGCCGGACGGCAAGGCCGCTCCGATAGTCCCAGCTGAAGGAGCTTTGGATGCTTGATTTGGATTATGTTTCTTACTATGATGCTGAGAATGAGCTCTCTTCGATTTCGCCAAAGCCTTTGCATCCATTCTCCAGTGAAATTTCGGAAATCAGAAACTCAAGGTGCAATTTTCTTTTTCGGTCTTAAAGAGTTTTCTCAGCGACCAAACATGTTGTTAGGGCTTCTGGGCTCGGCCTTGGAATACTTGGAGGCTGGTCCACAGGTCAATTAGTCAATGCACATATTTTTTGGGACTTAAAAGGATAATTAAAGTTATAAATATTAATTTATCCTTAATAACAAAAATAATTATATTACAAAATGGACAATAATAGTAAAAAAATTACAATAACAATAATACTAAATTTAGTAACATTAACATATGAAGTGATATTGAGATAGTAACAATTATAACGATAGTGAATTTTTATTGCCATTGTCCAAAATTTACAAAACTAGAATTTTTTTGTTATTGTCTATTATTACTATCAAAATTTTATGGAACTAGACAGTAACGTAAACTAGATAGCAACACGATCTCAATAATAACTATAATTACTATCAAAATTTTACGAAAATTAAACAGTAACGTGAACTAATAAAAATTACGGTCACTTTCAAAATTCTATGAAAATTAGTCACAGTGATAATGATAGTGATAGTGGCAAATATGATGAAATTTGTTGTCATTGTCCAAATTTCAAGGTACAAATTTGAAACAAATTTTGCTTTTCAATTTAATTCACAATCACTATTAATATATTTGCGGTGTTTGAATAATTTAAGTTTGAAATGTCATATTTGAGTTTGAAACTTCCAATTCCAAACTGAAAAAGTCAGGAATAAACTGAATGGGTGGAAAGCCAAACTTCTTTTACTTCCAGGAAGGGCAACCTTGATTTACTCTCTGAGTTTTGCCATTCCACAATACTATATGCAAACCATGAAATTTCCAAAAAAAAGTTTGTGAAGAGCTTGGTAGAATAAACCAGAACTTTTCTGTGGGGTCAATTGATGAAAGAAGGAAAATGCAACTTGTTAATTGGGGGGCAGGTGACTAAACCCAAAAAACCAGGGGGATTGGAACTCAAACCGGGGGGGGGGGGGGGGTTGAGGAACAAGGTAGCCATGGTCAAACTCAATTGGAGACTTCTAAAAGACAGAGATAAAATGTGGACTAGAACCCTTGAAACTAAATACCTAGATAGGGAGGGAAATGAAAAGAGGAAGACCCATTCTTATGTCTGGTCAAGCATGAAAGAAGGGAGGAATCTCCTCTATAATGGAATTAAATGGAATGTCCACAACGGTCAAACGACAAGTTTCTGGTTTGATAATTGTTTGGGACAGATAGACTTAGGAGAATGCTTCATGGGCCACTTCCAGAGGGGGAGGAGTGTCAGTATGTAAGACATAAGCTTAATCAGGGAGGGGATGGGATTTTGAGAGTATACCATACCCTATACCACATGAAATAACTGAAATAATTAAAGCCACACGCATCCAAGTTCACCTTGAGCGGTAGGATACATGGGCATGGGGACCTAAGGCCTCAAGGATTCTTGAATCTAAGTCAGCATATGAGCTAGCACAGGATAATCCAAGTGAGTTTAAACTAGGGCACAATGGAGTTGGATTTGGAAAACATTAACATGCCCAAGGATACAACACTTTTTGTGGCTAGCTTGTCTAGACAGACTAGCTACCAAACGTGTGATGTATACCCGTAAAGTTGTGAATGACCAAACATGCCCAATTTGCCAACAAGAAATAGAGGACACAAGCCATGTTCTGATGAAATGTGACCTAGCCAAAGGGATTTGGACTAAACTGGGTTCCCAACACTCTCCTCCATACCTTCAATGAGTCACTGGAAACATGGATGAAAGTAAATGGGATATCTAACAACCTTACCCACTAAAAAAATATTTCATGGACAACTCTTTTCCTTTACACTTGTGCCAGTATATGGTACCATTGAAACTAGTGGGTGTTTTTCAATAAAACAACACCTACGGGGAAAATCACTCAACAAGCCTTAGGTAGAGCCGCTAAATATTATCACCTCCACAGTCATAACACCAGGCCCATAAGATCTGAAGCATTACTTGGCTGGAAGCCCCCGTCATCTGGTTGGGTTAAATTGAACACAGATGGTGCTGCCCAAGGAAACCCGGGACCTGCTGGGGTAGGAAGAGTTATCCGTAATAACACAGGAAGGCTGGTGGTGGGTTTTTACAAGAAAATTGGGATAACTACAAGCTTGGCTGCTGAATTGTGGGCTTTAAGAAAGGGGGCTAAGCACTGTAAGACAGCATGTAATACAAAGGCTAGGAGTGTGGATGCTAGACTAGTCCTTTAGCTGGTGCAAAATCAAGATACACAACATCACAATTATAGCCCTGTAATTAATGACTGCAGGTGGCTACTGGGACAATTCCAAGAGACCAATTTAAATCAGGAAATGAGGGAAACTAGCAGGAGTGTTGATCTGCTGGCAAAGAAGGGTGTTCAGTCTGGAGAAGGATGCCATGTTTTTGTTAATGCTATTGATTGTATTAAAGAACAGCTTAATGCTGATGCTATGGGTGTCTGTTACCCAAGACTGATGTGTATTATTTAATGCTTTTTTAAGTCCCTTTTACCAAAAAAAAATGTCATTTTTTCTCTTCCCAAATGCATAACAACATTCAGTGGGATAAGCTAACGGCAAATACATTCCATATTTCAAGACGTCGTTCCAAAAGGTTCGATGAGAAAAAAATTGAAGCATACACACACAAACGTATATAACTAATTTCAAGCTAAGAAAAGAGTATCAATCTCGCTATAGATTTATGTGCTTAAGGTTTTGCTTATACCTCTTTTCTCTATATCTAAACGGGCATTTTATTTTTAAGCATAATGGTGGTATAAGAAGGTGAAATAGAACGTGTGGCCCTATAGTATCTTGTTTGTTTGCATTGCTTAGTCTTGTTCTATTTTTTAGGTTGCAATACTAACCCTCCAACTACAGTATTCATAAACCGATGTAGATGGGTATATATTATACCATCTATACCCATCTAGGAGGTGGTATTATTTTTTAGATTTTGCCACCAATGGTATTAAGGAGATTAATGACCAAATTACTCTTTGGCCTTTAATGTTATTATAGGATTTGGCCACCAACGGTTTTTTGTTTTTCAATTTTATTAATTTTTTTTAAAAAAATTTGATTTTTATTTTTTTATATTATTTTTAATCGTATGGTGTCAACAAATTTTTTTTTAATTTTTTAAATTTTTTTTAAAAAAAATTGATTTTGAATTTTTTTCTTATATTATGTTTAAATATACGGTGTTACCGATATTTTTTACTTTTTAAATTTTTTAAAAATTTTTATTTTAAATTTTTTTCTTATATTATGTTTAAGCATACAATGTCATTGTTGAAATATGAAGAACAAGAGAAGTAATTGCCAACAAAACTTCCTGTTAAGGATGAAGGGTCTGTCTATTCAGCACTGTCAACTTGGACCATAATCTTTAGAAGGAAGTTGGGATCATAAGAATCTGCAAGAAAAGAAAACGAAAGGATCATTTTTGATTGATCGGAGAAGTTTTTCTTTTTCATTTTTGTCATATATTTTGTACAGCTTACCAGAATTAATTTCACCATTGATTTAGGATTAGTTAGAATATTTCTTTGTAAATGCTTTACAGGCAAAACAATTGTATAGGTATATATACAGGGAAGCCATGAGAATTCAATATATCAATTCCTCCGTTACTTTCAGTCTGGTCTTGGTTGCAGCACTTGCGTAGTTCTTACTT